ATCCAAGCAGGATTTTCAGCCATGGAGGATTTTCAGTCCCAGAGTGGAGAGGCTTCAGAAGGCTGAAAATATTCTGTGGCTTGGGGCTGAAAATCCTCCATGGCTGAAAATCCTGCTTGGATTTTGGATGGGGTGTTTAGCACTCGGAGCTTTGGGGACTGCCTGAAAAAGCTTCGTGCCGAAATCCAAGCAGGATTTCAGAAGCCTCTCTTCTCTGGAGCTGAAAATCCAAGCGGTTCTGAGGCCCTTGCACACTCAACCCCCCCCATGCACCCCCTCACTCCCTCTCCCACCCACCAGCTTCTGGGGCTTGCAACTTCCTGTCAGCTTCTCCACTGACTTGATTGTGGGAAACCGGCAGGAAGTTGCCTTGCCTAACAACCAGAGCATTCAGTTAATGACGGCAACCGGGACTGCCGGAATCGCTTTTACTAAGTGATGCAGTCACATGATGTTTCGCCTAATGACTGCATCACTTAGCGACGGAAGCTCTGGTCCCAATTGTGGTCGTTAGGCGAGGACTATCTGTAATTCAACAGTCCATTAAAATGTAATTGAAGTTTTTTTGTGATGTATATTGGCTTTATACTTCTGACATTTATTTATTTGGTAATTTATATCATGTATTTTGTACAGGAGTTCAAGGCAGTGTATATAGTACTCCCTTCTGATCTCCAACCACCCCCCCCAAACAATCCTGTGAGGTAGTTTGAACTGAGAAAGGATGATTGGCTCAAAGTCATCCAATGAGCCTCCACTACTAAGGGTGAAACAGAACTTGGGCAATCACCAAACTGTTTCAATGAAAGATTGTACTTATTTTATGCATGCTTATAAGGGAATTCCTGTCAACTCCTGCTTCAATTTTACATGTGTATTATATTTTCTTCAGTTTTATGTTTTCTTCATATCTAAGATAGTTTTGCTAAAATCTACAGGAAGTTTAATTGGGTTTTGGGGCTGCCAGCTGCGGGGAAAAAAAACCCTTTGTTTTTAGGGAGGTTTGAAATAGGGGAGATTACTGGCTGAGTTTAGTTGATATTTGTTAATTTTGATAGCTTACATGGGTGTGATGTGGAGCATGCTACATTTAAAATGAGTTTTTCTCCAAAGCCAGGCATATGATGGGGGCAATCAGAGTTTCAAATACAACAGCAGAAAGAAGTAACTAGAGCTACTAGCCCATGCAGCGCCCACCTCTGTAATATAGTCTGCAAATAGGTTTCTGCCATGATACAGTTATAAAGATTTGAATATAGATGAATTCCCTCATAAAATATGTCTATGAGTGATTTCTACTTACTAAAACTTACTTTGCTGAAGTAATAGAATCACAATAGAATAGCATTGTGCAGAACTGCCTCTGCACAAACCTGGTGAGGCTAAAGTTCATGGCCGCTAGTGAGAACATAAACTATAGAACTTTATCCTTCTTAATTAAAAAAAAAAATCAGTTTTTAGTTTTAGGTGAATCTAAAAGGAAAGATTTGTTTTGTGAGGATATGGGATTTAACAGTGTCAAAGAAGGCTAATTGGAAGCTGTGATGACTAAGTTCAAGTGCTTAGAGTATATGGTATCAAAAGGGAAGGAATTAGCTAGATGCAAAGCCACTTGTTCCGGGAACAAAACTCTTTAGAGAATTTTAGAACTAAATGTTCTTACTCTGGGCTTCAATGATCTTGCCTGTCCAGTGGTGGTCCAACAGTTTTCTGAAAGTTAATCTGAACTGAAAGCTGTTTCTGGCTTGGGTGATTAACTTTCAGGAACAACTCTGACATGATTGGTGTGTGTCTAGAGGAGAAACTGAGTATTCCTGAGATGTGTATAACGTTCCATTTCTAGAATGGTAGGGTTTGCACATATCTAGTTTTTATGATTCATTTTTAGGATAGTTAAATATTTTGGTCTGGTTTATAATGTTAAAAAAGACAATATTGAGCAATATATTTGAAAAATCAAATGGAGGTGAATAACCTTGAATTTCATATTATTACTATAAAAAATGAAAAACAAATTTTGAATATTGGTCTTGGAAAATATGGACAATAAACACACAGCAGAATTTATTATAATAGATTGTTGTGTTATTTTTCCCCCCATTTCTTTAACAATTTTCAGCCAAAAGGACTTTCTAATCAGGCACTGTAATTGGTGTATTTAAGAAGCCCATAGATAGATAGATAGATAGATAGATAGATAGATAGATAGATAGATAGATAGATAGATTTTGCAAGACCTCTCTAGGATTCTATTTTGGAAATATAGTTAATGTGCTATCTGTTTTTTTACTCTGCTTGCCCAATATGTTTGAGGAGAATCATTTTGAACTCAAACATTCATGGCAATATTTTGATCTAAACTTGTTTTAGTCTAAAACTAACTTCTGTGCTTCTTTTTGGTTAGTTAATTTCCTTATGGTAGTCACATGATACCCAAATCACCATCTCCCTTTTAAGCATGTTGTGCAAACAGATCATTTTAAGAAAATCTTTTTGAAATCATTGTTTTCTTGAACTGAAACATTGTTCATTTGGTCATTGCTTATATAATTTGTTTTCCCATGAGGGGTCATTTTTCAAAGCTATGGTAATTTTTTATTTTATTT